AATTATGCAACGAGTTTATTATTGATTTTAAAACTTCCTGATGATGTTAGACTTTAACAATCCTATTTTAACCTGTAAACAAACATCAGCGATTGGCTGGAATACCCATCAGTCTATACGGATCAGCCTGATGGGTCACCCAAGTTGAACGGGCCAATTTACTGCATTAAATTAAAAAAAAATTGGCATGTTTTTATAAAATAAGTTATATACAGTATGCTTGATAAATATAATAAATAATATAAGTTAGAAATAAAATGATAAAGTGTATGTGTTATATGCATGTGATAATTTTCACTAAAAATAAATTAATAAATTTTTATAGCTATAAAATTTTTACTAGTTCATCTCAGTATCCTTATCTTCTTTATATCTCAAATTATTATTTTCCTCCGTAAGCTTATTGATAACCCTATCTTTCAAAAATGAGGAGAAAGAATTCCAAGTAGCATAAATGATATTGCCTTTGTCAGGTTGTAGCTCATATTTTAAATCATCTTCATTCATAATAACAAACCCAACATAATTATTATGAACATATCTACGTTTAAGTTTTATCATTTCATGTTCAGTAATAATTAAGCTGCCACCATTCTCACTCTCATCTCTAATAGAAAAATTGATTCCCATAAATTCTCCAACATAATCAAGCCCTATATCCCCAACCAAAGCATCGTCTTTATTCACATCATAAATTTCAAAATCATATTCTTTCATAATTGGATAAATATTTTTGATGTCAAAAACTCGTTTGGCTAAATCAACATTAGTTTAAATTTTTAGATAATCTACTTCATACTCTTGGGAAATATTATTTGCAGTAAAAGTCATTCTAACATTTCTTCCTATCTCTTTTATTTTATTAATTAATTCATTTTCATCTCTTACCAAAAAAATTCGACCTTGGTAATCTTCATTTTTTTCATACACATCTTCAACCGTGAATACAAAAAAGCCAATAGTGTTAACTGGTTCCCTTTCAAAGCCTATAATAAATTGTTTGAATTCATTGAATTGAGAACTATTATGTGGGTTGGCCCAGAACTTAACTTGAACAACGAAACTCAAGTCCCCATATCTACCTTGTATGTCAATCCCACCATCACCCCTCCATTCAAAAGCATATCTCAAAAAGCAGGAATACCTGCATCATGAAGTTTTAACAAATATTTTAGTTCGCCAATTTTCCCTTTTTCAAAGTGGTCTAAAGATGGCATCCTATGACTAACTTCTCGAACATTAATCATACTTGAAATTCTATAATTGTATGAATAATATTCTATTTATAAACCTTACAAACAAACCTTAATTTGTTATTAAAATAACAACTTAAACAGTTATTCAGTCAAATAGTATTGTACAGTAATACAGTTATTGTCCTTTTTTCGTGTTAGGGTAAAGACAGGTTATGAAAAAAATTGAAAACTTTTTTTTATAAACTGTATATGTACACGTCGATCGTTGCTTGTAATGTATTTGTGCAAGTGATACAACCCAAAAAAGGAAATTCAATGTAAAAATAAACTAAGTTCGTGAAATTAAAAATTTAAGGTTAGAATGATAAAGTTAAATGCTAAAGAAATAAATATTCACTTCCTATATGTAAAATTTCATTCCTGTCATTTTTAATAAACACTTGTTTTTTTATATTTTCATTTTTTTTCGTTTTCTTTGCTCACGTGTCAGCTGATCAGGATAGTCACTTTTACGTTCTCCGATTAGCTAATTTCCCTTTTTGGATTTTTTATATTTAGATGTATATAAATATTGGATTTGACGTAAAAGGTAAATCAATGCTGAGGGCTCAAGTCGAATCTAGCTGAAATACCAAGAACGTAGTCGGCCGTTAACTGGGGGCAGGACCGAAATGTGTGACAGGTTACACCAATTATCAAATGATCTGCCTGACCCAGTATACCCAGGAGCAGGTAAATTGGGCTCACACAGCGCTTCTGATGTACAGGGAAACACAAGCAAAATTCCCAGAAAATCATTTTACTAATAAAGATAGATTATACCAAGAAAACATCCGAAATAAAACAAATAGATCGCCTGGTGCGATACAAACATAAAACCAGAAAAATAAGTGTTACAAATAACACGTCGCGATAAGAAAATCGCATAATGCTAAGAA